GTAAGTTTATCTACTGCTGCCAAGTTCTATAGCTAAAATGTTCAAGAACAGTTTGGCTGTAGCTTTTTTTTTTTTTAATATTTGGAATTGAAAGTAATCTGATTTTGCAATTATAATCACCAGAAGCACTTTTTTTAATCACCATTTTTCATATCCCAAAGTAGTTTAATATTATCTCAGATTTATTATAATGATTTTCTGGATTTGCAAATGAGTGGCAGAGTAGCTGCCAGCTGAGTCTTCTCGTAGGAGTACACTTAATGAAAACTTACACCTAGACATGCTCACTGTTTTATTTTACCATTTATTGCTTTGTCTTAAGACGTGCCCATCCACCATAGGAAAAAATTGTGCAGATTAATTGAGAATGAGAATTTAGTATGAATTCCTCCACATGATTGAAAAGAAAGTGAAAGTATGGAAATTTCTGAGGAGTCTGGATTGTTACAGAATTAAAGGATCATGATAATTATCTTGAAGAAGGTATAGGAATATGTGGATGGTTTGGAAATTTGAAATCTGATTTGTTTCTTTTCAAGATTGTCTACTTAAATACAAAAACTGTTAATGTCACAATGGCACTAGGTACTGAGATTACTCATCTCCCTATTAATGGAGTTCAGCAGTAGTGCTTACTTTTTGGAGACAAGACTTTTCTCTTTCTTTTCTTTTCTCTACTTTTTTTCTATTTTTTTTTTTTCTTTCTTTCTTTCTTTTTAATTTCCCCCCCTCATTCATGGAATTCTATATGCGTCTCCCAAGCTGTTGATGGAATCAGTGTTTGCATACTTAAGATAGATGTTGTTTTCGATGGAAGACCTGCTGGCAGTGCTGTACCATAGACTCTTGACTGTGGCCTTTTCTTTCTCATGTTTGTAAAAGTGCAATGTGATCAACTGAGTCAGAGAACGGCAGTTGGTTAATGGGTGATACACATGTCCTATTTTTGTGGCCTCCTGTCATTTGAATTTTTTTCCCCCACCCGAAACACAACAGTCGTTGTAAGGATGTTTGATCACATTTCACAAAAATTTATGTTTATAATGTTGCCCAGGACATATTGGTAGATTACAAGTTTCTCATTGTCTCTGCTATATTTTCACATTTAGCCTATTTGATTTTTTCTTGCACTGCTTTGTTTTATGTTTTGTCCCACAGGTTTGTTCTTGTTATTATTTTATTGTTTGAGTGTGAGTAAGAACAGGCCGATACTGTCCTTGCATATTGATGCATTTGGTTAGACTTCCCTCACCCACTTATACTCACTTTAATAGTATCCTTGAATGAACAGGTATTACAGATTGTTAGGTACTGTATTTTCTCCTACATGAAAATATGTATGATATAAAGATTAAATTCTCTATTTACTCTTGCCAGTTTTGTTACATTACTGGTGAGTGAGGGTAGAAACATGACCAGGTTACAAAGAAGTCATGGCAGTGAGGCAAGGCTTACCAGTGCTTAAAACAGCCCATGCCAGTGAGAGAAGCCTGTCTAATTGTGTAGATTTGTGTTATTAATTAATACAAATTCCCCACCTTAACCAACATCAAAAGGTCTTGAGAGTAAGTATGTTGTAGTTAACACCTTTAACTACAGATAATCAAACATGCGGCAAACCATCCTATAGTTATTTCATTCTTAACATTCTCAGAATTTATTTTCAATCCTAATACTTTGATTGCGAGACTTTCATGTAGCGATACATGAACTCTGAATAGATCTTTGTTCATTTGTACACTTTAATTTGGCATTATGTTGTAAAGAGCAAGGTGAAGTACAGGTGCAAATACAAAGATAGTATGTCACACATGCATATGCAAGCAAACAAGCAAGCGTGCACGCGCGCGCACACACATGCATACACATGCACACATATACACGCATATACACGTACATACACACATGCACGCACACATGCACATACACACATGCACGCACACGTGCACATACATATACGCACATGTGCACATACACACATATACGCACACACACACTTATACAGGTACACATACACTTACAAAATATATACATATACAAATACATATACACATACACATAATCATACACATACTCATACTCATACAATGCACATACACATTCTTATACACATACATATACATAAACACATACATATACGTAAACACATACCCATACATAAACACAAAAATATACATATACACATAAATATACACATGCATATATACTCATATTCACCACCACACACACACAACACACACACACACACACACACACACACAACACACACGACAACACACACACACACACACACACACACACCACACGCAAAATTATACTCATATTCACAGACACACACGGCACCTACAGACACACACACACACACACGTACTCACACACACTCGTACACACACATACACACACACGTACTCACACACACTCGTACACACACACACACGTACACACACACACACGTACACACACACACACGTACACACACACACACATACACACACACACACGTACACACACACACACATACACACACACACACACACACCACACACACACACACACACACGTACACGTACACACACACACACACACACGTACACACACGTACACACAACACACACACGTACACACACACAACACACGTAACACACACACGTACACACACACACGTACACACACACACGTACACAACACACACACACACACACACACACACACACCACACACACCACACACACACACACACACACACACACACACACACACACCACATATACAGTACACATACACTTACACATACATATACATTTACGAACACACACAAACACACACACACACACACACACACACACACACACACACACACACACACACACCACACACACACACACACGCACACAAACTCAATCTAAAAGCTGAAACTCAAACACTCACACTCAGTCTGTCATTCTCACTCCTACTAGTGCTATTACCAGCTTATGCATGCACATACACACGTGTGCACACACACACACACACACACACAACACACACACACACACACACACACACACACACACACACACATATGCGCACACACATTCACACGCACATCACACGCACACATACTCGCGTATACATACACAACCTCTTTTCCTTTATATATAGATATACAGGTATAAATGTATGTGAATGTTTCATTCATGCTTATTTATATATGTATCTATATGTATATGTGTAGAAGATCTGTGTATATCCAGAGCCACAAACATTGATGATATAAATATTTTTACACTTAAGTACCATAATCTATAATGTGTATAAGTATATCACCAGTAGGCTTGAAATTATGTTGCTCTAATATTAGTTTAACCCCTAGCATAGTTTAGTTTAGATAAACAAGATTTCATCCTTTTAGGCCTTGGAGTAATATGGATCCTGAAGAAATATTTGCTTTAGGCATTTATCTTAGTTTTAATATTGGAAAGAGGATCACAGCTTCTTTGTACCTCTTACCAGGACTCAGAACTGCCTGTTCTTTAGTTATTATTAACCTTGTAGACTTAATGAACAACAGTTTCAATAACTTCTACTTCTACTCCTCAACATCATCGACAGTTACATAAGTATATACCGGTGCATTGGTGCTCGCAGGCGTCCTCTTTAACTAACACACATTGTTGTTCTGCTTGCTCTCTTTGTTGTGCTCCCCCCGTTCATTGGTTGGTTGGGTGGTTGGCCTCTTGCACTAGTGACCTACCAGAAATCAAAGGCGGCCATCGCAAATTCCGAAATCTGGTCTCCAGCTACATAGGTATGATGACCTCCTATCTGACACCTCTTTTATCACCACTGTCCTTTTTCTCCTACTCTCTCAACACCCCAGTCATTATACCCTTTCTGAATATGTGACCCTAGAATAACCCTTTTGTTTTCCATAATACATTCAGTTGTTGCTTAGATACCCATTTTGTGTATATTAGCAATGATCCTTACCTGCAAGGCACTCAGATCAAACACTTTAGATAAACAAATGTCTCTGATTTAATCTCTTAGTTTTCTCCAATACTTCATTTCTCTCTTGTTATCAATTCAGCAGTCTTACACAGCCCTTTGACAGAGAGCAATACTTGGTCCATTTTTATATTGTTTTGGTTTTAAGTTTCACTGTTTGTGGCCATCAGTGATACAACCATCTCTCTTTTGTTTTAGCTTTTTCTGTATAGATAATAAAGTTGAATTGCATTGGACTTTTTGTATTCTATTTTTGTTGTTGTCTCATACTAACATCCTTTCACATCTACTCGTCACTTTTTGCTCTTCCTTACACATTATCTCAAAGCTGCCCACCTCTCACACCACGTATATATACCATAAAAACTAGAGGTCACGTAAGCATTTTCTTCACTACTGCCACCTCTTGCTTGTATATTGGTAGCAAGATTATTTTATAACATGATATTTCTTATTACACTCAACAAAGTCCTCTGTCATCTTCGATTTTTTTACATCTTGGAACCAACCCAAGTTACCATTCCATCTCACATACATTTTTGATACATTATTTCTCTGTTCTCAGGACCTGTAGCATTAATCTACACTAAGGACCTTTTGTTACAAGGCCATTTTTGATGGTTTATTTTGCCTTTTGTCTCTAGGGTACAAAAGATATATATACAGAGTTGGAGGGGTGTTTCATCTCAAACAAAACACGATGCTAGAAAGAAGAATCCTAAAACAACTTAATTGCTCTGAGTTCTTATACTTCATCACCACTCCAACTCCCTTGTGTGTATTATTTCCTTAAGTTGTCCCAATTGTGTTTTACAAATCATCCTTTCTTTGCCTTTCACTCACTTTGATTGTCCTTGTAGGAGAATATGTAGTTTGTCAGTGATGTTATGACGTCTTGCCCTGCTTTGCATGATATAGTAGTGAGGTGTTTAACTGGTTTCCACATCTCCAAAGTTATCCTGCATCTTTAGAACACAAGATGAGAAAGAAAAAGAACAAACACATTTGTCCTC